ACTAGTTTATCACCATTTGCTCCTCATAAATTACTCATTAAGTGCATTCAAGTCCCTTCACCCATTTCTGCATCAAAACAAATCTCCTTGTCCTCTCCTGGGCTCTGCAGATCAGGTCTGGCCATGGGGCAGAGCATCTCTGGATGAAACAACCATTGTGGGGGGGTTTCTTGTGGCTTTTTGCTGTGACTGGCTGTGGTGAAGCACTGGCAACATTTGCAAATGCTTGTGCAGTGTTTCCCAAGCTCTCCCTCCTTCCCTGCAGTCCCCAGGCTCAGCTGGGGTCTGTGGTCACAGGAGCTGTGTTGGTGCTACAGCTGTGCTGGGTCTCAGCTCTGGCTCTGCTGCCACATGTGCTCTCTCATCCATGTGGCCTTTCTGTGGCTTGTCCTGGTCCCTGCCCTCCCTTGCAGGGTGTAGGAGGCAGCTGGAAGGGTGCAGAGCCAATATTCCCTGTTTTTCCCCTGCTCCAAGCAGGGCCTGGCTCTGGCTGACCCCCTGCTCTGGTGGCTGCTCCGTGGAGCATCCCGGGGGGAATCAAACAGCAGCTGGTATGAAACCTGGGATGAACCCCCACCCAGTGGGGGTACTGAGATCCCTGTCCCTTTGGGGGTGACCAGCTGCAGCCCCTGGGGACCCCCTGTGCTGAGGGGGAAAGGGCACCACTAATGGCACCAGGACCAAGTGGTGTCTCTGGAACCCAGATCAGCCCTGGGGCTGTGGAGATGCCCTGGTGCTGATTGGTATTAGGACCCCAAGATTCCACCAAGGGCCTGTTTCCACCTTCCCCCCCTTGGCTCTGTCTGTTTAATCACCAGTGACTGACTTGAAGCTGTCAGTGACAGCTAATGCAATTAAAGGGTGCTAATTTCAAAGGGATTTTCTTCTTCCCAGCACCTCTGGTTAGAGCAGCAGCTGCTGCCTTCATCTCCTTCCCTGCTCAGCAGAGCTGTGAGCACAAGCTTTGCAGTTCTGCCTGCACAAAAGGGGGGTCATTCTTGCTTTTACAAAGTGCTCTCCTGCTTAATGCTGGAGCTCTGATGAAATCGGGGTGGGGGGGGGTTGGCTCTGCAGAGCCCCAGTGAAAGAGAAGGAGGTGAAGGCTTTGATGGGCTTTATGGAGTAGCCCAGGAACCCTGTGCCTCCTGCCCTGCTGAAAGGTGGGGGTGGCTTTTCCCTTGGAAAGTGCAAGGAGGGATATATATAAAGTGCAATTAATGATGTGCCTTAGAAAGCCTCCCAGCTGCCAGGGCAGGCATCTTGATGTGGCCAAAAGTTGCTCCAAGATCTTTCCTGCTGTGTGGGTGCTGAGTGAATACTCTGGGGGTGCCTCTCTGTGCAGCCCACCAGCCCCCTGTGGTGCTTTAGGTGAAACTCTTGGAAAACCAGAATGTCCAACGTCCTCCTTAGAAGAGCTGCCAGGGCTTTTGTGGGATGGGATAAGGGGACACAGGCTGCACCCAGGAACCAGCCTGCTGGGCCCCCAGGAGTTGCTGGATCCCTTCTTTAGCCCTCTCTGGGCTGCCCACACCCTGTCTGCACCCTGCCTGTGCTGGGAAGGGAAGGGGTGGGTTCTCTAATGAGGGTGAGCAGCCTGCCAGTCAGCCAGAGGAAAATCAATACCACTGCTAATTGAAAGCAACCCTGATAAATCATCAGCAG